CTTGGCTATAAAGGAATCAGGCCACGTGTAGTTCAAAAGTAGGAACTGTGATGGAGTATAACGAGGTGGAGAGCTGAGTGAGGCTCCGTCCGATGCTCTGGTCCGTGGTTCTGTTATTACATCAAAATCAAAATTAAAAAGACTAACTAAACCTACCAGCTACGAGTTACAAGATTCCTATCTATGAGTCTTCTGAAGCTTGATCTTGAGTCTTGGTTGGTTCTTCATGCGGACTCTGATCTGAATCTTGATGCTTGTTAGCTGTAGGTGCTCGTTCATTCCTTTTTCAACTTCTCGGATCAAGGAGGGACATGCAAAGCTTGTGACTTCAATCACGTCTTGAGTAGTCCACATCTTTTCTCCACTTTTGCACTTTGGATTCACTTTTTTTCCATTCTTTTATTCTTGATTGAGACTTCTTTTTGGTTATCTCGAACCTTTGTCGACCCGCATTCTTGAGGCAAGCTTCTGCTACTTGACTTGACAACAAGACTGGAGGTTGCCCCTATTCTTCAGGAGGGATCCTGCTGTCTCTGACTGAAACTTGAAATGAATTCCCTCGTTCTCCAGGTGGGCGCCTGCTAATGACTTAAAATTAGAAATGAATTCCCTTGTCCTCCAGGTGGGCGCCTGCAACTGACTTAAAACTTGAATGAATTCCCTTGTTCTCCAGGTGGGCGCCTGTTGCTGACTTTAAACTTGAAACTCTTGAAATAAATACCCTTGTTCTCCATGTGGGCGCCTGAGACTACAACAAAACAGATAAAACAAAAGAAACTTTTTCTGCCCCAATTTGGTACCAGGAACATCTGTGAGTGTTAATCGAATCCTGTTATCCAAAAGAGTTCTATGAATTTATAAGCTAAATCTCATTATCCAAGAAAGTCCTGAAAACTAAAATTAAATCCTATTATCTAGGAGGGTCCTGAAAAACTTGAAATTAAATCCCATTATCCAGGAGGGTCCTGAAGACTTGAAACTAAATCCCATTATCCAGGAGGGTCCTGAAAAACATTAAATTTAAATCCCGTTATCCTGGAGGGTCTTGAAAACTTGAAACTAAATTCCATTATCCAGGAGGGTCCTGAAAAACATTAAAATTAAATCCCATTATCCAGGAGGGTTCTGATTTTAAGAAAACTCAAGATTGGTAACTTAAGAAAACTAAAATTGACCCCCTGTTTTTTCAAATCCAGACTCCCCCCCCCCCCCTTTTTTTCAAATTATTATCCTAGGAGAAAATTCATTAGACTAGGTTTTATTCTTAGGAGAAAGATTCATCAGACTAAGATTTCTATCCTAGAAGAAAGTTCATCAGACTAGGTGCTTTTTTGGGTATCTTAGGAGAAAGATTCATCAGACTAAGACATTTATCCTAGGAGAAAGATTCATCAGACTAGGTCTTCTATCTTAGGAGAAAAATTCTTCAGGCTAAGATATTTGTCCTAGGAGAAAGATTCATCAGACTAGGGTTTCTTATCTAAGGAGAAAAATTCATCAAACTAAGATGTTTATCCTAGGAGAAAGATTCATTAGACTAGGTTATTTTTTTTTGTTATCTTAGGAGAAAGATTCATCATACTAAGACTTCTATCCTAGGAGAAAATTCATCAGACTAGGTTTCTTATCTTAAAAGAAAGATTAATCAGACTAAGACGTTTATCCTAGGAGAAAATTCATCAGACTAGGGCTTTTTTTTGTTATATTAGGAGAAAGTTTCATCAGACTAAGATTTCTATCCTAGGAGAAAGATTCATCAGACTAGGTTTTCTTATCTAGGAGAAAAATTCATCAGACTAAGATGTTTATCCTAGGAGAAAGATTCATCAGACTAGGCTTCATTTTTTGTTATCTTAGGAGAAAGATTCATCATACTAAGACTTCTATCCTAGGATAAAATTCATCAGACTAGGTTTTCTATCTTAGGAGAAAGATTCATCAGACTAAGATTTCTGTCCTAGGAGAAAAATCATCCGACCAGGTTTTCTATCTTAGGAGAAAGATTCATTAGACTAAGACGTTTATCATAGGAGAAAGATTCATCAGGCTAGGTTTTCTATCTTAAGAGAAAAATTCATCAGACTAAGATTTATTACGAGAAAAATCCATCAGACTAGGATGTATTACCCTAGGAGGAAAATGTAAAGAGCAATGGCATGATTTTATGCATATTAACTGATGTTTTAAACGTCAATACCACACAAGAGGGGGGGGGGGGTGATTTGTGTGGTACCCAATTTTCGCTTATCTGAACTATAGAAGGACCTAGTTCTTCTAGGTGTTCCAACTACTGCTGTTTGCAGAATAATAAATACAGAAAATAAAGAACACAGAGATTTTTACATGGAAAACACCTAGCTCAAAAGGTGAAAATACCACGACCTACTACTCAGTAGGATTTTCCCAAACTTCCACTAATATCACTGAGCTAAAACAGCATTTACAAAACTCTTTGTAAACCTAAGGATTAACTCTAATCCCGATGTGGCACACAGCCTCAACTGCTGCGACAACTTCAAGTTAACTCTAACTTGAACACTCTAGGTACCTAATACAATTGCTTCTATGAAAGCTGAAAGATACAATGTAAAATCACCTACTATAATTGAACTAGAATAAAAGATAGACACTTGGAACTGGTTCTTCTATATCATTCAAGTAGCTTCAGGATTGCACATTCGAATCACACGTAAATTGCTTGCAAAATTGCCTTGGTCTTTTGCTCTCAATTTAAGTTTAACTTCTTCTTGTGTGCATTATTTTTTTTTTGACGAAATTTTAACTTTTATTCCATCAAAAAAGTCATTACAAAACTAGATTAACGCTGACCGTTAATCTCTCATATCAATTGTATTTAAAAAAACAAGTATATCTATACTAATTCATTTCTACTTCTATACTACGGCATTTTATTCACAGTTGCCAATCCTTGACTCCATTTGATGTTCTTTCGTCCTTGAATATGTATATGCATTGCAATTTCCTTGCACACTCTATCAGCATCATATCTTCCTTTCTCAAATCTGATCATATTCCGTTCTCTCCATATGCAGTAGACAACCATTGCAAAGACTGCCATGGTCATTTCTGCAACACAATCTTTCTTCTTTGCCACACTACTTATCCAGTTCACTTCCTGTTCCCAGTTTTGAATCTGCCTTCTGTATCCTAACCAATTGAGCATTCTTTCCAACAATGTTCTTGTATACTGATATTTAAAAAACAGATGCTCAAAGTTTTCCTCATGCTGTCCACAGAACACACATTCTGCCTGCACTTGTAATCCAAACTTTGCAAGTCTGTCGACTGTTGCTAGTCTCTGATTGATGGCTAACCATAGATGGAATTTAAACCTTGGATGAACTTGTGAATGCATATGAATACTCTTCCATTCCACTTTACTGAATTGAGGTTGAAGTTGCACATATGCCTTGTTGATCTGGAACTTGCCTTGTTTCTCAAACTCTCTCAGAATTGATGCAATGTCTGTTTGGTTTGTCCTCATCTTCAGTACATCTTCCTTTATTTCAATGATCTTCCTCACCACCCATGCTGCATTTTTTGGTACATCTATGTCTTCAATTCTTCTATTTTTTATGTAGTATATGTGAGCCCATCTAATCCATAGTGTATCCTTCTTCATAGACAACGCCCATAAGTGTTTCATCACTGCAGCTTTATTCCAGGTTCTCATGTTGATCACATTCAACCCCCCTGTACTTTTAGGTTGGCAAATTGTGTCCCATGCTATAAGGGCTTTCCGAGATATTTCAGTTGCACTTGTTGATTAATCCCAGTCATATATATTGAGCTTTTCTCCACACTTGCTTGCAATCCTGATGCTTTTGAGAACTTGTCAAAAATATTTTGTGTTGCTTGAATAGATTTTGTGTCTCCCCTGTAAAACATTAAGAGATCGTCAGCAAAACATATATGTGTTACTCCCAGTTTCTTGCATTTAGGATGGTATTTGAACTCCTTCTGCTTTTTCAAAGTATTCATCTCCCTCTGCAAGTACTCCATTGCAATTACAAATAGGTAAGGAGACCTAGGGTCTCCTTGCCTTATCCCTCTCTTAGCAGGAAAAGGTTTTGTGAGTCCACCATTGAGTGTCAATGAATATGACACTGTTGTCACACACTCCATAATCCACCCAATGCACTTGTAAGGAAATCCTAGCTCTGTAAGCATCTGCTTTAAAAACTGCCAGTCAAGTCAGTCATATGATTTCTTGAGGTCAACTTTGAGGATGCACCTTGGTGATACTCCTTTCCTGTTGTACCCATTGAATAGTTCATGACTAAATAGCACATTATCCACTATGTTCCTCCCCTCTATAAATGTTGATTGTGCTTTCCCAATGAGACTGTCAATCACTTTCTTTATCCTTTTTGTAAGAATCTTTGCAATAACTTTATACACTGTAGTACAACAAGCTATTGGCCTATAGTCCTTCACTGTTGTGGGATTTGAACCTTTGGGAATCAATGTTATTGCAGTGAAATTCCAAGCTTTCTGCATTTTACTTATTCTGAAGAAGTAGTCCACTACCTCATATACATCATTCCTGACTTCTTGCCAATGTAGCTTAAAAAATTCAACTGGAAATCCATCCACTCCTGGTGCTTTGTCATTTGGCAGATCCTTGATTGCTTCATCTATTTCCTCATGTGTTACTTTCTTGATTAACTCCACCTGTTGGTTCATTGACAAACACACTCCTTATTTGATGATCTCTGCATTTGGGCAAGGTTTGAGCCCAGTGTCTGTCCCCATGAGCTGCTTGAAGAATTCAACAAATTCCTTCTCTATTTCTAATGGTTCTGTGACTCTTATCCCTCCTGCATTGTATACAGAAGATATAGCATTCCTACTTGCTCTCATCTTCAATTGAGCATAGAAATACTTTGAGTTTGAGTCTCCACAATCTATCCAATTTACTCTCGACTGAACATATTCTAATTTTTGTCTTGTTTGATTCAGCCTTCTCTCATAGCTCATCATTTCCTGTTCAGATCTTTTGACTTCATCTTTAAATCCTGCAGTTTCCTCCATATTCTTTCCATGGGATCACAGTTCTTTCTCTGCAACCATAGATCCACAACCATAGGTTTGAACTCTCTATGCTCCATTGTTACCATGTACATTTTAAAAGGTCTGTTATACATATTCTGCCTTTTCCATATCTGGATCACTATAGGGGAATGATTAGATATTCCAGGTTCCAAACAATCAGCTTCCACATGTCCATAGTCTCTGATCCACTCAAAGTTTCCAAGCACCCAATCTATTCTGCTGTATACTCTATCAGTTGCTTGTTGTTTGTTGCACCAAGTGTAAAAATAGCCTTTTGTCTTCACAGGAGATAGTTGCAGTGTATCAATACATTCTTTAAAATCCTTTATCTCATTCATAGTGACTGGTTGGCCCAGTCTATCATCTGAACATAGCACAGTATTAAAATCACCACTTATGATCCATGGCATTTGAATCACACCCCCCATTGCTTCCAGTTCTTTCCATAATCTAGTTCTCTCTTGAGCTTTGTTCCTAGCATATACCACTGATAGCATGATCTGCCTTCCATTCGTTGCATCAGTTACCTTACAGTGGATACATTGCTCTTGAACTTGCACTACATCCACTGATAGGTTTTGTTTCCAAATCACCCATATTCTACCATTTTCTGCCTGCTCATAATTGCATTTGTATCCCCAGTCCTTTGCTATTTTGTACAGAATTTTTTTTGGACTTTTTTCTTTAACTTCTAGTTTCCTAGACATCCTAAGACATCAATCTTATTCTTTTGCAAAAAGATTCTCAGCTCTTTTTGCTTATGGGGCTTGTTAAGCCCTCTTATATTCCATGTGCTTATTATCATGGTGGTGTTGTACGCTCTCCTCGCACCATTCCTCCTCCCTCGTTCTATCTTCATGTGACATTTCTTTCAGCACTGCAAATCTATTAGCTTCTTCACTTTTTCTCTGGTTGCTCAGGAAGTAAGCCTGTTTTTCATTTTCCTTTGTATTTATCACCTTTTTTCCTCTTTGGTCTGCTAGACTGTGATGTGGTTGTTGTTCATTCTCCACCTGCTCTTGTACCACATTGGCCATTTCATTTGTCTCCTCTTGTGCTTGTTGTTCCTTTGGTTTCCACTCTTGTATGATTCTGTTCCTTCTTCCTCTATTTCTTCTTCTAGGCAATTGGAATTCTTCATTCTCCTCTTTCTTATTTATCTTCCAGCATTCAATCAATTCATGCCCAAAGTGCTAGCACTCAGAGCAAAATTTTAGCCTCCATTCATACACTATTTCATGCTGCTTCATACAAGTTGGAGTAATGATTTCAACTGTCTCCACTAAGGGTTTTGTAATGTCCACTTTCACAAGTATTCTTGCAAAAGAAATTTTCCCTAATTCAGCTGTGTATCTGTCTGTATACATAGGCATTCCCACAGCACTTGCCACCTTACTTAATGCATCTGCTGTCCAGTATCCAACTGATAAGTTAGGCAATTGTATCCACAATGGTATAGTCGTAATACACTTAGGATCAAAGTGAAAATCTCTTTCCCAGTTTTGCAAAATCAGTGGTTTATTATGATATGTATATGGCTCTGCCTGCATTATAGCTTCCTTATCCTCCCTTTTCCCAAATCTGAAGACATAATATCCCTCTTGATGATATAATACTTGAGGTTTATCTACAAAGTCCAGATTGTTTCAATGTAATTTATCATCGATTTCTCATATGGTGTATCCCCAAGTACATACCCAATTACAACATTGTCCCAATACTCATTTAACTCATTCACATCTTCTTCTTCAATTTGTATTACTAGCTTACCTTCTCTGTGGCTTGGTGGTATATACTCCAGCTTCAGCCCCATTTGTGATTTCCAATTCTGCGTTCGTACATCTTTCGCATGTTCCATTCTTTCCTTCATCTTCTCTGCATTTCCCAGATCTAGATCTACTCTTGATGACCCAGCTTCTGAGAATTGAAGCCGCTTAGGACTCGTAGGTAGATGGTCCTTGCTCTTCACAGCTTCACTCATATTTTTTCCAGAATCACTGTTCCATTGCTTACTGTTCATACCCTCTTTCTCATCTAGGTCAGTCTCCTCTGCAATTGGCTGGAAACCAGTTGGCAAGAAGCTCCC